TTTACATAGTAAATAGTTAGATTGAATGGTTGAAGTGTTATTAAGTATTAGCTTGTTAAATTTTCAACAAATAATTTGAGTGTAGGCTTCATTTAAAAAATAAATGCCAATGTTTTGCAAATTGCTTTTTTCAAATTTTTAAGCTATAGGCCTAATATCTTAAACAGATACCAGAGTCCTATGAAAGTTTTTTTGTGACCTTAACATCAGCCACTGATGGGGCTCGAGTTATTGCCAAAACATTAGAACTTGTCATTCGTTTCAACGATGCACCTGTCAGATTCTCAGATGTAAGCTTTAGAATTGTATTTTAAAAAAATGAAAATACCATATCATTGATGTTCATAATTTAAAAAAAAAATTATAATTAGAAATATTCATTTTGAACAACTGTTCAATGTGAAAATATTTTAAATGATCAATGAACTAAAACCTATTAAATAATAAAAGAAATGCTTGTAATTAAGATTATTTCCAGCTGTTGATAGTTATGCAGTGCATTTAACTATAATATTTAGATATATTAACAAAATTTATGAAAATGAAAAATATTTGAACCGAAATATAATTAAGATTTTAAAAATTTATTTAAGTATATAATAATTATGGTATTTGACAAATAAGTCTAGTCTAAGACTTAATTTATCTAGAATTAGTTTCCTAAAATTTTAAAATGTATTACATGAATATTTTAAAAATCTGTAAAAATGCACAGCTTAAAAAAAATCCTTTTATTACCAACTAAATAACAGGCTATATACAGATATGAAGAAGGCCCAGGGACCATCAGTGTCAGTGTGCCAATAAGTCGAGGTGTAATGGAGGATGGAACAAACATTGGACCTATAGCTGGTGTGGTATCAGTGGATTATAAATTTGTATCTGGTACAGCTGTACAGGGTTATGACTTTATTGGATCTGATGGTGTTATTTTATTTGGACCAGGTGAAGGATACAAATATATAACCTTTGATATTCTAGATGACTCAGAACCAGAAGTTGAGGAGTCTTTTTCTATAAGACTTTCCAATGTTAAGGTGAGAAGAAATCACATTATTTTAAGTTTTAGTCTTACTAAATTAATCAAATGAGTGTCAATGTTTTAAATTTGACTTTTGATGTTTTTTTTAGAAGACCTATATTTTATATTAAAAAACATTTAATTGAAACATGCTAATATATTATGTTAAGGCATTCTAATGGACCTACTATTTTATTTTCTTAATCTTCAAATGCATTTGCAAAGTCCTCATGAGTAAATTATATTGTTCATTGAAACCTGCAAAATGTCAATATGTTTTCTTTTCTGAAATAAATTTTATAAACTTCATTTTAGACTAAGTAAAAATTTGTAAAAAAATATGTTTGTCAAATAACGCTCTACTACATTCTTCCATTCAACAACATTTTACACTTGACCAATACTTGCATTAAAGTGTGAGAATTTTGGTTAGAGTTAAATGACTTAGTCTCTGCAGAAGTAGTTTTGAAAATTTCATGAGAAGATAAATAAAACCAAATCTGACTGTCCTTCAGGGGGATGCTGTACTTTATCCATTAAGCCTCAGTGCGGCCACCATCATCATCAGTGCCAATGATAACCCAAGTGGCATAATTAGTTTCAAGCCAGGCCCTCAAGGAGGAGTACCTTTGTTGCAAGTAGATGAGGATACTTATACTGTGCCTGAATTTCAAGTTCTGCGGTCAGCCGGAACTTTTGGAAATGTATCTGTTCGTTGGTCTATAGACAGAGATGGAGGGGCTTCATTCCCAGTTATAAATGATGTGGGACCATCAAATGGTTAGTGTTATACAATTTCTTTATTTTACAGAATTCTTGGTTTGTGTTATTATTAAAAAAATGTAGTTGATGGAGAAACTATATGGTTTATGAGGACAAATTGTGCTAATTTTTTTTAATTGTAAGAGATCATGTTATTCTCTGTAATTGCATATTTTTTTTATACTTTGATAAAAGTCAAATAATTTTATTTAAGCCAGCAAAATGTCTAATAATAATTCAAGCCAGCAATAATTTTTTATTTTGTATTTGTATTGCTTTCTATTTTTGTTGGTAATTTTTAGAGATTCAAAATATTTGCTTTACTTGATTGTTGTGAATCTTCTCAGGTACTTTGTATTTTCAAGCTGGTGAAAATAAAGCAGTAATTACACTCACAATTGTCCAAGATAGCACACCAGAACCATCTCAAATGTTTATTTTGACATTGCAACGTAACACTGTGAATGGTGATGCTAAGGTTGAAGGTATTACAGAAGCTAGACTGCTCATAGAGGATAGCGATAATTTTTATGGTGCTGTAGAGTTTGGTCCAAAAGCTGACCAAAAACTTATCACAGTGAGTTTTATTTTAGTATTTAGTCATACTTTGAGATTCAATTTTTTAAGTCACGTATTTTAAAAACATTGACTGCAATGCATTAACTAAAGTAGAAATATAACATTAATATAAAATTCAAGGACTGTAGAAGGCTGTTGACAAAAAAAAATTCTTTTGAAACTTAATATGCTCATTTTTTGTGTTAATAGTTCATCATCAATCTTGTTGACAAACCCAGCAAACAATATTCTTATAAATCATTCAGAATCAATCTCCTCGGCTGCTGCAACTGTCTTTGACAAGTTCAGGAAGCAGAGCTGAAGCCTTAGGAGTGGATGTTACAGTTACTTACAGTGATGCTTCACTAAACATGGCAAACAGTGAGTTATTAAAATTGTTGGGACAGTAAAGTTGTTAAAATTGATAAAATAAAAGGCAAAAATATCTTCCTTTGCAAATGGCTTTAATCATCACATTAATAATTTCTCATGATCAAAAAGAGTTATCACAAAACAAAAGTGTTTCTTAAATTGGCAACTTGCGTTATATTAGTTTATTCATAAATAATAATAAAACGTAACTACTATTTCAGGCTCTATACTTGTCGTCAATTCAAAGACTGTAACCATGCCAGCAGGAAAAGATGCTTTCAAAGTTGTCTTTGAACTCAGTTCTTCAACATTCCTCGTTATTGGTGGTGAATTTAAGGCCACCATCAATAGCGTTGCTTTGATAACAGGTGTTTATTTTTTATTGTGGAAGGATGTTACCACAGAAATCAATATATTAACTGTTGATTCTTTTTTTTAAATTGACATTTAAATAAAAGTTTTTTTAATAACTAGATTTTCAACAACTTATAGTATAACCTTTTAACCAGTTAAAGAATCATAGGAAAATATTTTTTTTTTTTTTATGAAGCTATAAAATTGGCTAACTAATCATATTCCATATGACTATGCCTTCCAAAACCATGAATTATTTGTACGGAAGCAAACATAATACAAGAGATCAAACATTAGCATTTAAAAAAAAGATTTTTGGTAAATTATTTTTATTATATAAGTAATATTAGGTGTTTGAGAACAATTAAACATTACAAAAATTTTCTTAGAGAATAACAATTTCATAATATTAAAGAGCTAAAATGCTGAGAAGTTAAAATTTATTAAAATTTAGACTAACATATCAACAAATATATTTTTAAAAAGGCTTTGAACTAGGGGCCTACATTTCCTAATATATTTATCTTTATTTTACAGCTTCACGTTTTGGAGTATTTCACAACTTGACAGGTAGCTTTCTGCAAACTTCTGTTTTGGTTACATCATCTGAAGCAAATGGAGAGACAGGATTTTTTAATGTCACCAACCAAGTTGTTGATGAACCTGATACTGGAGTTTTGCAGGTAGTGTAGATATAAAAAAATTTTCATGACAGTCGACCGTTCTGACTGACAAGAGTATTTTGAAAACTAAAGAAATAATTTGAAATAGCCTATATAATCAGGTATATCAAACTCCTAACTACCAACTTTACAAACACATATTTATCTATTGCTTGGGTGAGAACTTTGGGTTGGAGTTATTTTAAAATGTACGTGCCATGCTAAGCTCATATTTTTATGTACCACATTTATTAAAAAGTGTTTTAAAAAATCAAAGAATTATAAAATAATAGCTTTAAACTTTACTTAAGTTGGTGGTAATTGGATTGAGAAGTTTTTATTGTATGTTAATGTCAGTTTTTTATAAATAGCTTTATCACATGAGTTTACAATGCATCCCATGTGAATTCAATACATACACATCTAGCCATTAAGTAAAATCTCTGTACAAAAATAGAAGCATAATTATAAATTATTCTCTGTCAGGGGTCACCAAACTTTTTTCACAGTGGGCTGGATAACTGAAAAAATGATGATCGCGGGCCGCATCTGGGAGTGGGAGAGATGTGTGGTTGTGTGTGTTGCCCTGATAACCATGGAAACCATGTTAGCGTCGGAGCGTAGGCAGAGCTATTACAAGCCAGGAAGGACTTGGGGATGGCGCGAAATAAGCAGACATTACAAGAAACAAAATCTAGATACAATAATTTAAAATTGAAAATGGTAAATTTAAGGAGCATAGCAGCCAAGAGTTCTCCAAATGTGTGAAGATCTCCTAGCATTCTAAACATAATATTTAAATTCCATCACAACGTCTTGTGTTCCATACCTTTTATCAAGCAAATTCAAGTGACGTCAGCGGGGCTGATGAACTGATGTTGGGGCTGGATCCGGCCCACATGCCGTAGTTTGGTGACCCCTGCTCTATATCACAAAATGATCACAATATTTTGAAATCTGAATGCTAAATAAAGAAAATCCTACACTGACAGGCATATGTTTTAATAAAATAGTAGTTCTTTATAAAGGGTTTGGAATAATATATGCTCATACTTTTCTCACTTGGAATAAACTTCTGAGTTGTAATCTTTGTAGTTTTGCAATTTTGCCATCATGTAAACAAGTTTGGATTGATGTTGTAATATTGACAGCATTGAAAATATTTCATTTAAAAATCAAACAATTAAACTTATGCATAATATTAATCTGAAAACATAAAAAAAATTTATAACTTATGATGTAGAAAATTAATTAAGTAAACCTTTCTTTAGGTGGGGCTCTTGGTCAGCAGAGAGGGCCTCAGTGGGATGGCGGTGATTAGATGGTCATTAAGTGGAACTAACGTAGATGCTAATGATGTAACAGCATTTCAAGGCGCACTGACCTTAGACTCTGGTAAATAAATAAATAAAATGATTTAGGTTGCTCATTTAAAAAATTATCCACCTTAATTACAAATGAATAAATTAAAGCTGCTGATTTATTGCACAGTTTATAAACAATGGAAATGAGAATGTTTTCACTACATTTTTCTAAGAAATAATCATACATTTTTTTCTAAAACCCATTTTAAAAAATGGGGGGGGGGGATCATCAGATATTAATTTTTTATATTTTCTCAATTTTTTTTAAAAAACCCATTTAAAAAAAGGGGGGGGGGGGGGGATCATCAGATATTAATTTTTTATATTTTCTCAAGATTAAAGAGCTAATAAATTTTGAAATTTGAAGAAATAATTTCATATTTCTTGTTAAATCATAGGTAAGTCTGCAGTAATTCTTAACATTGGCATAAAGGCAGATGATATTCCAGAGTTGGCAGAATATATTGTTGTAACTCTTGATAGCATTGAACCTTCCGATAACCAAAGATTACGCCCAGGCCTGACAAAGATTACAATCACAGTGAATGCTAATGACAATCCAGGAGGTACACTACAGTTTTCTCCAAAAATGAATCTGACATACACAGTAAATGTGAGTTTAATTATTTTAACAGTAGTTTCATATTTTAGAGCTCATTTTTATTTTTTTATAAATTTTAAACCTGCTATTGTTTAATTATTTATTTTAATAAAAGATTATTATCTTATTCTGTTCATTTTGACATTATTTATTTGTGAAATGATAAAAGAAAACATTTGTTTTTCATTAATTTCAGGAGGGGGTAGATGTTATTGATGTGATTGTTGAACGAACAGGTGGTGACTTAGAAGAGAAATCTGTACAATATTCAATTAACCCTAATGGTACATCTCAGTTCTTTGGTGCAACAAATGTTCTGGTCTTAGGCCCCGGTAAGAGAGAATTATCTTCAAAAATTCTACCAAAAAGAGATGGCATTCCAGAGGTAGGCTATCGGCAAAACTTCATCTTTTGTGTATAATGAAGATTTATTAAGTTTAATTGAATGTGGCATTGTATGCCCTGGGTTTACAAAAACAGAGCGCTCACCACCCAACATTATCATGGAATTGAGCTAGAGGTTAGGTTACCCCACCGCTTAAAATACTTAGATATTAGGAAAGCATTTTTGTCCTTTTGTGTAAGTTCAATCATTTATTTATTGGTAACCTTATGGTATAAATTATAAATTGTTGGAAAGTAGATTTTATTCTCTATACCTTAGTCTATTTGCAAGCCTACATCTTTAGAGGGTATTGTAATATTAAGTAATGATGGTAGTTTTCACATTCATCCATGGGAGGGACCCCATGCATTTAAAATATCTCAAAGATGATTTAACTTACAAAAATATACAAGTGTATCTTAGTAAACCAAGACAAAGTGTGAACAGAAACATATAAGTCTTCAAGGTTTTGATCCGTGATTTTGACTTTTATTTGGGTTGGAGTCTCTGGGGATTGTCAGTTTATTACTTGAAATCTACCAGAAGTCAAGTAATAGACCATACTGTTAATGTGTTATGTACACAAGAATGGGCTTTTGGCATTCAAAGATTTAATCATAACCCTAAAGGGCGCCATTGTTCACTGGCCCATTTGGAAGCTTTATATTGTCCTTTTTCTTACCATTTTTTTTAGGGTTTTTCTTCAGCTGCTATTTCTTGTAATGTTTACTTATGATTTACTTCTACCACTCTCATTTATACAACACTCTAAAAATCAATAAAAGCTAAAGACCCCAAGACCTGCATTTCCTTGAGTTTATACCAAATATATATATTTATATACACACATACATTTAAAACTGTCAGCTATATCTCCATACCACTCCTTTACATGAAAAAAATATAAAGGTTAGTCTTCATGATTTCGTGTGGGTCTGTTCAGTGATAAAAGCAGTTTTTTGTTATGTATTTACTCCTATAATTCATTGTTTTAATAAGCCTATAAAAATATAGTTAACTTAAGAATGCTTTGTTTGAGCCAACATGTTTTATCTGAATTAAATAAAGCTTTATAAAAGACAAACAAACCCTTATCAAATTGTATTTTCTTTTTAAGACTTTCTGAATTAATTTTATTCCTTTAAGTTAATTGAGACATTTTATTCTGCTCAGTTAAAATATAAAATGTATTCTGTCTAGTTAAAAGAGAAATTTTTCTGTCCAGTTAACACACATTTCATTCTGTCCAGTTAACAGATACATTTTATTCTGTATAGTTAACAGAGGCATTTTATTATATCTAGTTAACTGAGACGTATCAGCTTGTTCTGACTTCTGCTGGGTCCCCAGTTGTGATTGGAGAAAGAAATGTCATTAACATAACTGTTCTGGAAAATGATAACGCTTATGGAGTGATTCAGTTTGCAATTAATCCCTCAACAATATACACAAGTAAATATTTTTGTAAATAAATAATAAGCTGCAAAAATTTTTAATATTTCTATTTGAACTTGATGAAATTAGTTTTGTTTACCAAGCAATTTTACATAGGGAGGTTTTTAGTATAAATTTGAACTCTTCCCAATTAAAAACAGGATGTTATAAGCTGTAACTTTAATATTTATATTAAAAGATTACATGAACTGTCCTTAAATTCCTTGACAACAAAATTGTAATAAAAAACTTTGTATATCTTCAAATGTAGCCTATTATCTTTGTTGATAACAAAGCAATGGTCTATTTTATTTATGTAGATAGTCATTAGTTTCATTTGTTCTATAGTTTCTTTCTAATACAGCGGTTAAAACTTTAAAAAATTGCTATTATAAATGTTTCCACAAAAATTATATTAATGGAAAACTAACTCAATTCTTTCAAGGGGAAGGGCTGGCAGGCTCATTAACCAATGTGACCTTACGATTATATTAATGGAAAACTAACTCAATTCTTTCAAGGTGAAGGACTGGCAGGCTCATTAACCAATGTGACCTTACCTGTCAAGCGAGAATTTGGGACATTTAATAGAATATCTGTTCCCTGGAGAGTCACACCCAGTCCTCAAGATGACTTGATACCTCCTTCTGGAGTTCTTGTCTTTGAGCCAGGGCAATCTATACAGTATTTAGTGCTGACTGTTGTGAATGATGATGTAAGTAGAACTATTTATAGCTCTGTCACAGAGCCAGCACTAAACAGCTTCACTTCACAATATCCAGAAAACCTAATTTCATTTTTAATTAATTTGCAATTTATAGTTGATTAAAATTTAAAACTGTTCAATGTTGATTATCATTTTAAACTTGAATTTAATTTGAACAATTTTCTTTCTTTGAAAAAAATAAATAAATTACACAACACATCTTTTAAAATTTAAGAATTTTTTTATGATTAAAATTTGAAAAAAATATTGTTGAAGAATCTTGAGAATGGTGCATATCACCTTCTGCTTTATGCCATAAATAACTTATCTTTACTTCTCATATATTTTTTAAATGACATCAATTTATTCAGATTCAGAAGTTATTAGTTAAGGTATGCTTTTTAAAATCAGTATTTCTTTGACAATTACATTATTTTTTTCAAACATAGATTCCAGAAATAGATGAAACGTATGTAGCTCAGTTGTACAGTCCAGATAATGGAGCTGCTGCTGGCACAAATATGGTGGTCACCATTGTAATTCAAGAGAATGACAATCCTGTGGAATTTACTCGTAATGAAATACAAATAATTAGCCACTTCTTTTCACCCTATGTTCTTTTAGAATAAAATTATTAAAACACCATAGATGTATTAGTTAATTAACTAAAATTGATTTTAATTGTAATGTTAGGTAAAAATGGTAAAAGAAACTATCCATATGTTTTATGGAACTGGTGCAAACGTGGGAAACTATGTCCTTGCCATTTAATAGATGCTAGCAATACTATGTTGGTCTGCACCCATTTAGTTTATTAGATTAATACTTTTAAATAACGTTTTAGTTAAAATTATGCAAAATAAAAAGTTCCAATTATATATTGAATTGAATAGAGTAAATTATATTTTTTAAAAATTTTCAGTTTCTGATGATTATTTTTATTTCATGACTCTCACTTGAAAGATTCAAATATGTGCCAATAAAAAACATTCGTGAAATAATCCCATTTTTTTTTTTTTAAGTTGCTTCATTTTTTTTGCAGAGACACTTTGGTATGTTACTGAGCCACAAATCCTCAACTTGACTTTAGTCAGGCAAGGCGGAATTAACAAGGAGGCTCGTGTCCGCTGTCGCACTTTAGATGGGTCAGCTTCTTCCATTGAAGGAGATTATATCCAGATTCCATTGACTGATGTAATATTTGCTGTAGGGGAAAGGCAAAAGACTGTGCAAGTTGTCATACTGGATGACAGTATTCCAGAGCAAAATGAAACCTTAACTGTGCAGTTATCTGATGTAGCAGGTAAGAATATTTCACTAGATAGGCTTTAGAAAGAAAAATATCAATGTAATTGATTTGCACTTTTTCCCTTTTAAAAACAAAATTGTTAAAGATAACTCTTTCAAATAAGCAATATTTTTATATGATTGGAATTAATTAATTTATCTTCAGGGGACATGATAGTGACAAGGAACTCGACAGCAACAATTGTAATCCTAGCAAATGATGATGCTTACGGAATTTTTAACTTTTCTCAGCCAACAGATGGGAAAGTAGAAGAAGGCAGCACTGTTTTCTTTGAGTATGTTTTGAAAATTAACCAAATTACAATATGTTTGAATTATTGAATTTTAGGTTAACAGGAGAAATAGTTGTCTCTTTAAGTTCAATTTTATACATAAAGTGTAGGGAAAGTTTTTTAAAATAGTACTGTCTAGTTTCATATTATAGACACTAAGTCTGATGACTCAAGAGCTTACTATGCAACAGACTTTGATTTGCCTTTAAATTATCACCCAATTACCAAAGTTTATATCTTTGGCCCCTTAAACTGAGTTTATATGCTGCTAAAATATTTGCAATAAATAGTATTTAACATTTGAATTAATCCACACAAATTGTCATGGGATGCACTATAATGCTATAATTTATTTCTATTGGTATATTTATGAATAGCATCTTAAGGTCTCGTGGCAACTTTGAATCTGTGCGTGTTTTCTGGGAACTAAGGAGCCAGGTCAATGTTTTACTGGTGCCAGGTGTAGACTTTGCTAACACCAGTGGCTTTGTAGACTTCTCATCCAATGAGAACCATAAACTTTTGGGCATCACGCCATTAGCTGATGGAATCCCTGAACCTGCAGAACAATTTTTATTGACACTGACTCAAATTGTTGGTGAGTGGTATAATAAAAATTCAGAATCTAAAAGTTATTTACTTGCTGAATCTAAGATAAAATTCTTCCTCTACGTAGCTCTATTATTTTTTTTTGTTTTTTCCAAAAGTGTGCAGAGAAAAGATTATTCTGAATAAATGTATGCTTAAAAACTATAAAATATAATAAATGAGGAAGACTATTTATTGTCTTGTCTTTATATTTTTAGCTTGCACATACCTTCTTGCACTATTTTCTCAAAAACTATTGTAACAAAAGACATTTTCATTCCATTTACATATGTTTTTATAGTACTCACAGGAATGGCTGATGGAAACTTGGCATCACTTGGGAGATCAGGTTTTGTAGCAACAGTCAGGGTAGCCACAAGTGATGACCCATTTGGCAGGATGGCTTTTGCAGCCACATCAAGAGATTTACAAGTTGCTGAAGACTTTGATCCTGGAAATGAATTCACTACAACGGCAAATTTTGTTATAGAAAGAAGGCAGGGAACCCAAAACCAAGTGAAAGTAAATTTTTAGAACCAACCATTTATAATTTAAATAAACGAATTGTTGAAGTTAACACCCATTGAATAGTTAGAAAATAAACAATAAAATGAGGTATGCACATTTTTAAAGTTATTATATTTTTATCTTTTTAGGTCCTGTGGGAGGTTTTCTCTGCCCAACTAGGGGGCAATATTCCCACCGTGTATGATCTACTGTTCAGCGGTCAATGGCCTATTAACCTAGAGCAGGCACCATCACAGGTACAAAGGAGCTTCACAGCTACACAAGTTGCATATATGTCTGGAGGTTCAGGTAACATTGGAGAGTAATTTTCTTTAAATACTCTTAGCATTAGAATAAAAAGAAGCAACCATGTTACTTAAAGTATATTTTTCTTTTATTGTTTACTCAAAAATAAAATTATGAAACTTTCTTTTAGGTAGTTTTGTCACAGTCTCAGCAGACGATGAGCCACCATTAAAGGACTTGTCATATGATTTTTCCTTGTCTGCCTGGGTTCAGCCTATTGGAAATACTGATGGATACATAGTCGCACGTTGTACAAGTGATGGCAATACTCATTATTATAGCCTCCAATTGATTGTTACTGCATCCATGACAACTATACAGTTTAGAATTTCAACTAGGCTTCAGGTGATTGGCTATTAGTTTTTCATTTCATAATAAGTTTGGAATAATCAGCTAATATATAAATATAAATATAAATATATAGATATATATATATATATATATATATATATATATATATCTTTAGTACTGATTATATATGTTTCTGCTTTTCCTTTTAGTTTAACCAGCTTCTTAGTGCTGATGTACCTCTTGTTTTTTAATTTCAACTAGGCTTCAGGTGATTGGCTATTAGTTTTTCATTTCATAATAAGTTTGGAATAATCAGCTAATATATATATATAAATATAAATATATAGATATATATATATATATATATATATATATATATATATCTTTAGTACTGATTATATATGGTTCTGCTTTTCCTTTTAGGTTAACCAGCTTCTTAGTGCTGATGTACCTCTTGTTATTAGTGATGGAAAGTGGCATCATATACTTGTCGCAGTTTGGAATATTACAGTAAAATTTTATTTGGATGGAAAACCTGTTGGTTCAAGGTAAGTCTAAATATTTTTTTTAGATATAGAGGTACTTTTTAAAATAATGACAAAATAAGAAATTAAAGAAATTTAAATAATAAGCCATTCAGTTATTGATTATTAGTTGTAACGATAGTTATCTTTATGTTAATATAGTTTTTAACGGATAACCCTTGTGTTTTAATTTGAATGGCACTTTGTACAGTTTATTTAGATGATGCAATAGTGATGTGTACTTTATTTCTGAAGTCCAATAGTTGATTCAGAGCAACTAGAGGGTCCTGGTATTCTGCTAGTTGGTGCTAAACCACCCAATACTGAATTGTTTTTGGGTTACCTACAAGATGTTAGAGTTTTCCTGAGGGCCTTTGATGACAGGTAAGAATTATACTGTATGAATTTTATAAAGCCTTCAAACCCCTAGTGCATGATTTCCTCATCAACATCAGTAACAGAAACATTGCAAATCCCATCTACATGCATAGGAGCCAAAATGATCAATAAATTGATCGTGGGCCCTTAAGATATAGAAGAAGAAGAATTATTAGAATTGATTATTTTTTTAAACACTAATTTTAAAAAAAATTCAGTAATGTTAACAAAAACATTAAAATGTAATGAATTTTTTAATAAGGTATTTATTACTATTTTTAAAAAATGTTCTTTTCTATCATGTAAAATGCTAATTGTATCATAATGGGCCTATGCATAGTGGTTAAGGCTGAAGAAAGTAACTGCATTTCATTGTTTCAATTCAAGTGCTGTGAAAGAACTCTACTCTATGATTCCTACTCAAGACATCAGACCTGTTTCTGGAATACTTATTTACAACACAGGAGAAAGGAGCCAAAATTTCACAATATCATCTATACAAGATATAGAAGAAGAGGGGCAAGAAGTGTTTCTAGTTCTACTTCTAGACACTTTTGGAGGAGCCACATTATCTTCTACTGATGCTCGTACCACTTTAACAGGTGTGTTTAAATCTTAAACCTAAAGCATAGTAACAGGTCATAAATAAAATTAAAAATTGAGACTAGTATTTACTTCAGTGTTAGTTGATTGAACAATTTGGCAAGTTCTGCTTATCATTTAGCTTAAAGAATTACAGCTTTGAAAACCCAAGTAACCAACCACCTAGGTATACTTTTGGGATTTTTCTTGTTGTGCCAAAGTTGATGTGTTCAACCCAGAAATTGTTTTTATCTCTAGTCATGAAAAGTGACAACGCTAATGGACTGTTTGGGTTTGCTGGAGACTGCAGTCCCTCTAGAATTTTGTTTGAAAACTCCACTGTTACCTGCACTGTACAACGTCTTCGAGGGGATGATGGCTCCGTCACTGTATCCTGGACTGTCACTCAAAGGCAGAGCCAAAGTTTGCAGCAAGCCTCTGAAGATTTTGAAAATAGCAATGGATCAGTTGTGTTTTTACGTGGTGAAAGGAATAAGGTATGAAATGTATTTGTTGTCTTCTTTTATTTTTCATATGGAAAGTAAAGTGATTCTCCTGATTCATATGGAATCTATCTTTATTGTTGCGTGGGAAAACATTGCTTTATCTATGTTATTTTTGCACAACAAAATTTTAAAAATATTATTTACTAATTTCTTAAACTTTAAAAAATGTTATTTATTTAGGCAAATTTGCTGCATAAATTGATATCTTTCAAAAATAAATTTGTTTTTAAAAAAATTAAACATTTCTTCACAGACATTTGAATTACGAGTGAGAGATGACAATATTCCAGAACTAGATGAAGCATTTGAGGTCCGTCTAACATCTGTAGTATCTGATGATGGCAAGATTGGATCTACCAATACCAGTGGTGCCTCCATAGATAGCACAAGACAAAGTTCACAGTTGTTACTAATAGAGAATGATTACCCATATGGCTACTTACAGTTTTCAGACCAGCTAGGGGTCATTCCACCACAAGATATTATAATAGCTCCCACCACAAAACTAATACAGGTGATCTTTTCAATCTATTTCTTTATTTACAAAAAAAATTATTCTGTGCACGTTCTAATTAAAATATTTTTTTAAAATATTAACTCACATTTTTTTTAAAATTCATTAGATCCATAAAGGAATAATTTTTGTATTTCAAACTAAAAAATAACATTAAATAAGTCTTAACCATTTATTGGACAGTCCTGACAAGTAAATATTAAAGCAAATTCAGAAAATCACACTACTTACATTCAACAACTTAGCTACAAATATAATATCAATGAGCTGCGGTGAAAATTTCTTTTCATCATCTGTTAAATCAATTTATATTATTAGCTCAATGTAAGTGAAGAGGGTGGTCTGGTTCCACTGATTGTTCAGCGGGCACAGGGCACTGTTGGAACCATAAGAACTGATTGGAGAACCAAAGATGTCACTGCATTTAGTGAAGGAAAATCTCCCCCAGATTATGTGGTGAGTTGTATGTTAATGAGGAAATTGGTAAACACTCTTGCAAACTGCAAACAATGATTATGTCCTCCAAGAAAGTTTAGTTAAAAGCTTTGAACCATAGTCTTTACATTTCTAAAGTTTGTCTTAATATTGATTGACTTTTAAAATAATTTTGAATGTTTCATTTTGATAAAGTTAAACAATCAGATTCAGGTGAAAGGATAAAATTTATAAAATAGTTCATAATTTGAAACAAAAAGTGAATATTATTAAATTTACTTTACTATTGATCAAATTTCCAATAATCTTTTGAATTCTTTTAGCAAACAATACATTTATTTAATGTTGTCTAAATTTAATTTATTATTTGAATAAAAAAAACTACTTTAAATATTATGTTGACACTCTTTAAATTTGTCCTTAACAGCTCCAGGTAAGATATTTTGGCACAAATCATTACATCAATTTAAATCTTTGAAAATTTTTATTTTTTTACAACTATTGATTTATTTTACTGATGGCAAGTGGGTTGAGTATTTTAACTTAAATGATTCAGTTAAATAACTAAGACTTGATAATGAGACTTTGCAGTGCTTTAATCCTATTAATGATTTTCCTATTTGCAAATAAATTGAATTTACCTAAAAAAGCATGGCATACTAAAATCCTCTATTATGTTTAAAGATATAGGTTTATTTGACCTTATATAAGAAATACGCTTGCATTTCATCTATAATATATATCAGGATCATTTTGAAATACTATTTCTTACAATAAGCATGCTGCTTTGAATTTATTTGTGGGGCAAAAAAGGAATTAATTTTTTTTCCACAATTCTTTGCTGTATGAGATTTGCCCTCCCCCCCCCCCAATCATACTGGGGAAGAAAGAAAAAAAGGTGATTGGATGATCAATTTGGTGTCGGGAATTTTAATGAGTAGCAGCCTATTCGTTACCGCTGAGCAAAATAATTATATAAAATAATAGCTGAAACAAAGCAAAAAAAATTTCAAAACATTATTTTTTAAATTTTATTTTTGGTCTATGGTTAAATGAATGAATCCTTAGCTGCAAAGCAGTTCATTTTTTTAAAATAAAAAACAATCAAATACTTTTAATGTATTTTTATATATTCTTGCATTAAAAAAATATTTAATTGCTTTTAAATAATTTATGTGTATCATTGATCTACAGGGAGGAGTAGGAAATATTCTTTTGGGGCCAGGACAAAATTATGCTTGGGTTAATATAACAGTGAAGGACAACTCAATACCTGAAGGAGAAAAACAATTTGAAGTGGAACTTTTCAGCCCCACAGGAGGTGCAGTTCTTAGTCCAGGATCCAATAAAGTTGTTGTGACAATAGAAGCATCTGATGGAGCATTTGGGATTTTTCAATTTGCAGACACTTCACTCAATGTGCAGGCCACAGAAGCTGAGGATGATGCATTTAACACTGTCAGGCTAGGGGTGAGTGTCCCTGAAAGAATGTCAGTAGTAAAAAAGAATCCCCTTCATAAGGTATGTATTGTTCAATTCAGTTTCTGTATCTCAATACTAATAATTTTCCATGTGGATTATATTTACAAGGTTGTACGGCTGGGTGGAACAATAGGAACATCAAGAGTGTTATGGGAAGTTGATGAGGACAAGAGTGATGGACAAGACATAATCAATCAGGAAGGGAATTTGACTTTCCTGCCAGGTCAAACCTCACAGTTTATTGAACTTCAAGTTAGAGGCGATAAAATTCCAGAACTAGATGAGATTATTCGTGTGAAATTGGTCTCAGTCCTTCAGGTAATTTAAATAAACAGTTGTCATAATTTAAACTTGAACTGTAAAATTTATCATGTTAAAAAATTACTACCAAGCTAACTAACCTTCAGTATTACCTGCGGTGTGGGAATCCATCACCTGATATCAAGCGCAGGCTAAATAGACTTATCAAGATAGCTAGTAATATCAAATCAACTAAACATCCTTCACATGAAGAACTATTTTAAAGAAAAATGCTGTTGAAAACTTATACATTTTTGGATGATACATCAGACTAACTTCATCACAGATACCTGAGATCAGCTTGATCAAGGTGAATTCTTTCTCTTAAAGTAGGACCAACATATTTAAAAATTCTTTTGTTCCCCAGTCTGTCAGAATTTAGCAGTATACTACCCAAATCTAAATCTGATCACGAATTATGTCATTATTGTCACTAAGGGAGTTAAGTTTTATGGCAAATGATGGCTGATTTTTACCCTAGAATAATCCTTTAAATGTCCTGTGTTTAAATTACTTTGGTTGTAAAGTGTTATTTTGGTTAAAATATGTATTTACTACGTGTTGAAATTGAATATGTACAATGCAATAAAAACCATTTCCATTTATTTGGATCAATAGAAGGATCTTATCTTATCTTTACAAAATTTAATATGCAGTAAGTTTTGAAAGAATTTGTTTGATACTTAAAAGCTTATTATTAGATTATTACTTTTATTTTAATATATTTTTATTTTATTCTTTTATCATTGTTCATAACCTTCTAAATGTTCGTACACTTTCTGACATCAAGAGCCATTCAAATCAATGGAACAACCCCATTGAATGCAGAGCCTGTCAAAATGTAAACAAAATTTTTATTGTAATTTTGTAATTGCATGATTCTACCAACATACATATGTAGATTTAGCCTTATAATTAAATATTTCATGAATCCTTTCAAAGGGAAATATTGGTGACCCATTAAGAACAACAGCCACTGTGACCATAGCAGCAAATAATGACCCATATGGGAGATTTATCATAATGCCATCCTTCAGGCCTATCAGAGTGGCAGAAATTGAACAAGGTTAGAAACTTTGCTTACTTTATGAAGGATAAAATCCTAAATACATAATATATAAGCTTTATGTTAGTTGAAATTTAAGAAAATCAGAAAACAAATTACTAGAAGAGATTGCTGTTCTGTGATTGATATTATATAGCACAGCCAATTATCAAGTCATGATTATGTATTTTAAAAATCAAATTCTGAATTCCGTATGATGTAATAATATTTTCTTCTTTTTCTGTGGTTCCCAGATATTAATATAACAGTCCAAAGATTGGGGGGTCAATTCGGTATTGTGCAAGTCGATTTTCTCTCTTTGACACCTAATGAATCTTATGATTTCATGCCTGGGCCAGTGAACCGGGCAAGCTTGAATGATTTTAACTCAACGCAGGGCACCCTAAGCTTTGGCATCAATCAGGAAGTTGCTCAGTTTAAAGTTCATATAATAGATGACCTGATACCTGAAGAAGATGAGAGCATATTTGTGAGAATTACATCAACTAGACTAATACAAGCAGCTCAACTAAATCCTGGTATGTTCACATTAACAAAGTAATCATAAATGTTAAGCTTTGATTTAAAATGTAACTGCTTACGATCAGGCCCCTTTTCATCTTTTTAAAATTATCTAGTTCCATCCTCACCACGTCTTGGCCAAAGCTCAGAAACGTACGGACAGATCATTATCTCTGCCAATGATGATGCTAATGGTCGACTGCAGTTATCTCAGCCAAATATATCTGTGGAAGAATCGCAACCTATTGTCAATGTTAGTGTTGTCAGAACTGGTGGAAACTTTGGAGAAGTAAGTTTTACTTGCAAGCTTTCTAAAGTAACTAGTGAATTTTAAAATGGTAGCATTTTTTGTTGTTTATTTAGAGACAATATTAGCTCATTGTAACATTCATGAGGATATAAACATCTTTGTCCTATAAACTTGTGTTATATTAGCTCTTAATTATTCGATTAATGAAAATGTATTCTGTGAAATATTTCCACAGGTTTCAGTTAAATTCCGTGTCATTGATGGTACGGCTCTGTTAGACTTGGATTATATAGTGCTATCTAGAACAGTGATACTTCCATCCGGGGAGGCTAACAAAAGAGTTGCAATAGAAATTATTGATGACAGAGTTCCAGAATTATCTGAATATTTCACTATTGAACTAACTGATGACGTGACAGGGGGTGCTGTAGTTGGAGCTGTGAGGTCTACCACTGTGACCATTCTTCCTTCTGATGATCCTAATGGAGTCTTTAGTATGTGTTTATCAACATCTTTAAATTTTCATTTTTTTTTTTTTAAACTAGGAAATCAATGCTCCTTTAATGAGAATAGCTAACATTTCAATGACATAGCAAGTGGATCTAAGCAACTGCATTTAAATTGTTAGTTTAGAAAACATAGCAAACAATTATATTCTGTTAATATGTAATAAAATATCATTTTTTTAAATACTGACTGAAGTGTGTGTGTGTCTACCTTCGACATTTTTCATAGACATATTTAAGTCATTATTGATTTCAGCTTGCTTGTAAATCAGAGACATTCATTCATTCCTCCAGCATTTGTAGCTCAAGGTCAAACTGTTGTAGAACTTGACCAACCAAACACAGTTAATATAACTGTAGTCAGAACAGGGGGCACAATGGATACTGTGACTTTGACATGGGAAGCAACTCTTAATGGTAAGGTGAAATTATCATCTATTTTCATCAGAGAAATTTTTAAAATTCATTTTTGTCATAGCTATTTAAGAAAAAACAACTTTTGCCCATAGCTAGTTGTTATATGATGAATTAACATGTTTATTTATAGGTCTGCCAGCATCTGATGATATTTTCCCTTCATCTGGCTCATTGTTCTTTGTCACTAATGAAATGTCTCGCCTCATTAGCATAACTGTCCTGCCTGATGACATCTCAGAAGGGACTGAGGTAAATTTCAAATGCATTGTTGCTAACAGTCTTTTAAGTAGAGTAAAGTTTAGAAAGGAAATAGACTACCAAAGTAAAGAAACAAATTATATATATATATATATATATACACACAGTGGAATCTCTCATAACGAGCATAATTCATTCCAGAATCTTACTGGTTAAGCGAAACACTCGTTAAACGAAACAATTTTTCCCATACAAATCAATGTAAAATACGATAATGCGTTCCATGCTGAAAAAAATTAAATTCTCATTTTTCAAAAAATTTCATTAACATTTATTCAAATAAAATTACTAATGAATTGTTAAGGACTGTATCAGCTTGGAATACAATTTAGATTTGAAACAAAAACGTAAATAAAAATATGAATTTATGACAAATAATTAATCCTTTTTAACTAGAAATTGCCTAAAGACATTTGTTTTTATCGACACTTAAAAATGTGATGAAAAGGTGTCAGAGCATTATCATTGAATAAATGTGTAGCACGAATAGCCACCTCCTTATTAGGGTGATGCTTCTCAATGTACGATGCAACAGTTAATGTTGACCGAGTGTATGTGCGTGCTAGATTAGCCATGCTCACACCTTGTTCTCGCTTTTCAATGATTTATGATTTTACGTTTCATTTCAACAGTTATTTTTTCTCTCTTATGATCGTCTTCTTGTGTTTTTTCTTCGAAGTCATTTTAGCACAGGTTATTACACTTTGCACATAAAAAAATTACGAATACTGTCTGAATACAAAATTTGTAAAAACTGGTGATCACACACGAAAACAATACACTAACAGACCGAGTGTTAAATACAGACTAATGCATCGGCGCGGAAGTCCCGCCTCACAATTGAATGTCGGGAAAAAGGGACTTCCCCTTTCTGCCCAACTCGTTATGGCAAATGTCGCTCATTAAGGGAGCAAATTCTTCGCATTTTTTTTGCTCGTTATGCAAATTACTCGTTATGAGAGGTTCCACTGTATATATATATGTGTGTATATATATATATATATATATATATATATATATTATATTATATGTATATATAAAGCAAAGATTTAAAAAAAAAAAAAAATTGATAAAGAAGATAATGACTCCAATTGGCTCCAATGGTCTATCTTTGCTGTGATTAAGTTCCTAATATTCAAAATGTATTTGTTTATTTAACTTTACCTGTGAAAACTACTAAAAATTCAACTGTTAAACAAGTATCTGAAACAGCATGATGGTCTTCAAGCCTGATTAGTGATGCCAAACACAATTTATGTATTTCAGAATATTCAAATTCGACTGAAAAATGTAACCAATGGAGGAAGAATAGGGGATCAGAACATGTTCATACTGAGTATTCCACCTAATGACAGCCCACTTGGCACAGTTCAGTTAGCCTCTAATTTATCTTTAGTACCAGAAGATCCAGCAGAAGGGCCACAGACAGCTCAAGTTATAAGAAGGTTAGAACTGTTCTAACTGCATTTTAAGAAATTAAAAGTGAATTCTTAACTTTGTTGCAGACTGTTAGTATCAAACTCTTTTTAACACAATCTTTATGTGTAAAACCTTTCATTAGTACTACTAACAGTTTGTGCCTTTTTTTACCTGCTTTAAATAAATTTACATGCAAAATTTAAACAAACTATGTCCTATAAATTGTTTTAATGAAATGAAATTTTTAAAAATTTAAATAGAAGTCTATTTCAAAAAAAAAAAAATTAAAAAAAATAAAATAAATGTGTATCTAAATTTAAAAAAAAATATTTTTTGTTAAATTAAATTTGTTTTCATCTCCTCAGTGGTGGTGTGTTTGGTAGCCTCAGAGTCTATTATTCCACAGCAGTTATGCCAGTGGTGGATCTCAACACTTTAAATGGTGGAACAGTCTTTGGCTTATTCTTAGCTCCTCAAAGTGGAAGGTTATCTCAGTCTGGCACTGAAGTCAATGTTTCTGAGTCTGTTGATCCCTTGAAGGTATCTTAACATTACATAACAATAATTTTAAATATGTTTAAAAAATGTTTTGTACCCTTTCTAGCATAGAAAGTATCCTATATTAGTTTATTTTAATGTATGATTTGCAAAATTCTCAAGTATATTATTTGTTATTTAACAATGAATAGTGCATTTAGTTAATTCAGCAACAGTTTAATGTTTTTGTTGAACCCACCAGTCTCTTTTTGATAAATTAGGTATATTTGAAAATGTAACTCTCTCTAACAGCAGTTTAGAGTAAAAACAATAAATTTGTGTTATTCTTCTTCAATATTACCCAGGTTTGTGCTACTGCTTGTGCACTTGAATCATCTTGTCTCAGTTTCCAGTACCAGCAAACACTTGTCAACACAACATGCATGTGGTATACAACAAGCTTTACAACACTGCAGCTGCTTCAAGGAACAAATTTTAGTTATTTTGAAAAGGATTCAAACAAGGTAGTGGAAAACTTACTTAAGTTAAAGTTTCAACATACTTTTTTATCACTTAAAATATGGGCAAACAGTAAATATTTTGAATCAAATATTGATTTTAAATTTTATTTTGACTTTTTTTTACTATACTAAACTAACCTGCTGCTTCATAGCTCACTCCAAAATGAGTTAAGCCAGGCTGCAAAGTGGCTCACAAAAAAAAAACAATTTCCGTTATGCCATATCTGAGGCATAATACAAGGCTTGTTTCTCTGACGTTACACAACTGAGAGTAATAGGGGAATGAACTTCCTTATTGGTTGTAGCTGATATATTTATTGTCCTTGGTCAACACAAATTCAATTTAATAAAATTATATAACCTGAAAATGTGTTTCTAATATGTATTCTAGGTATCCCAGCTTATGATGAATCTAGCAAAATCTGGTGATGATTTTAGTGTGGTCAATCGAATGTCAATATTGATGCAGGAGGGCCAGGCATCAGCCTCAATTCCTCTTACAATTGTGAATGACAACATTCCTGAATTGGATGAGCAGTTTTACTTGCAGTTGGTGGATGTTCAGGCTGTAAATGGGAGCTCCAGTCAGTCAGATGCTCCTTTGTTGGGTCAGCTGAAACAAGCCAGAATAGTGATCACCACCAATGACAATGCTTTTGGTGTTTTTAGTATTAGCAATCCATCAGATCCCAACAACAGAATAGTGCAAGTTCAGGAGATTGACAAATTGGCAGTTGATTTAGTTGTGGAAAGACAAGGTAGGCCAATTTGACAAATGAAATTTTGTTTGATGAATTTCCCCACTTTCTTCTTAATGTCATAAAAATAAATGGTTAATCTATTTAATTTTTAATTTGCTGTAGTTTATTTATTAGCCACTATGAGATTTAAAAAAAAAAACAATTCTTAGAAGAAAGTTGAATGTGTTAATGACAATGAAATGTGCACGTGAGAGCAAGTTATGAAAATGTTTTTTTACCATACCTTTCCTCAATTTCTTGCACCTATAATAAACAATAACTTTGTTCAATTTTTATGTTCAAAATATCATTTGGTTCTCTTGTAATCATTTCAATTGTTGTGCATCAAAGGGGGAAGCATTGGAGCTGTATCAGTAGAGTGGAGTGTGAGTACCATCAACCGAACAGCAACATATGGCCAGGATTATATAGCTGATGGAGCAACACTTTTGTTTGCTGTGGAACAGACTAGAAGAGGTATTCTTTTTAATAGATAACAAATTTTATTTAGAAAATTAAAAGAAAGAAGAAAATAATTTGCTTAAGACCGACTATAAAGTTTCTATAATGGCTTTTTTATATTGGAAGTCCGTGTGTTAAGACATTATTTTAACTCAGATCAATCTTTTCACATAAAAAAAAAACTAGATGTAAGGCTACTTAAAAGATGTAATTAGACACACACAAGATAACATATTTTTTTAAATTGAAGTATTTCAAGATATACAAATGAACATTAATATAATAATAATAACTCAAATCCTGTCCACAGTTATAAGTATAACTATTCTTGATGACAACATACCAGAAGACAATGAAGAACTAACTATTGTCTTGGGAAATGCTAAAGGTGGTGCAACTATCAGCAATATGAACTCAATAAAAATAGTAATTCTGGCAAATGACAACGTTGCTGGAGTTTTATCTTTTGAAAAAACTTCAGTTCTCGTCAATAAAGGTAAGCCATTTGGAACTAGAGCAATTTTAAACATGGTTTGAAATTTGGAAGCTTTTTTTTATTTGATGGTTTACTTATTAATAAAGATGCTGTATTTTGTTTAATAACAGGAGAAAGTTTCCAAATCAAGGTGAAAAGATCTCAGCCGGCTTCTGGAACTGTGACAACTAATTGGATAATCCAGAGCAAAAATAAACTCATCAATTTAGCTTTTGTACTATACAGGGGAAATCTCATCTTTTTACCAGTATGTTTTATTTAAAAAATAATATATATGATTTAGTTTATAATATTGTCTTGTATTTTTATTCAAGCTGTTACACACTGTTTTCTTATTATTTCATGAGTTAATGTATAAGTTGTCTTCACTTTCTCTTAACCAGTTTGCTAGCTTTAATTATGTGATGGAAATTTTATTATGTTTAAAAGAAATTTACAATTTTTTGGTGTAAATATTGTGTCATACCTATTTGTCACAAAAAATTAACAGAAATTTTGTTTTATGTTTATTTCAGTCTGAAACAGAGAAAATTTTAAACTTGACCGCTATTGCAGATAACACTCCTGAGGTAGATGAAGAATATTCCCTCACACTTCAAAATATCACAACAAATGGTAAACTGGACTTGACATTTTTTAAACTCATAAATTAGTTTAAACATTATGTTTTACATTTTATTATGTGAACTAACAATGACCCTACAGCTGTGTTTTAACTTTTAATGGGAAGGGGAAGTTATCAGTAGAACAGCACCAACGGTATTACATTTATTCTAGATTTCATTTTGAAAATATGAAGACTGTATGCTTAGACAACCATGACGGCATGTATTTTAACTCTCAAATATAGAAAAGCTAAACTTCAACTCAAATCTTTTTCTCATGCGCTATCTCACCTCTACTAGATATTGCTATTAAAGCATTTATTTACTGTGGTCATGTTTTGTGAAAATATAGGTTAGTTTTATCTTCTTTTAGGTGTGGGGATTACAGGTCAAGCTAAACTTGACACATTGATGGGTGTTGTTTTAATTACTATTGCTGGAAGCAACGACCCTCATGGGGTTTTCCAGTTGGCAGCATCATCGCTTGATGTCAAAGTTCAGGAGAATGTTGGCACTGCCAGATTACAAGTGGATCGGAAGTATGGAGCCATAGGTGTGTTGGACATTTAGGAAAATACAATTTTAAAATCAGATTCAAATAACAACTGATGATCAGATAATTTGATATCCCCCTTAATAGTTTCAATATTATTTTCTTCTTTAAAATATATTTTGGTTACTTAGCTATTTCAATTTTTCATTAAAAAAATTTTAAGGATTTAAAAAACTCTTTTTTGTTAGGTTAATACGTGATTTTTTAAAATATGAAATCCAAGTATTTCATAAGGAAAGATAAGCTATTGTTGCATACATCCAATTGATTACAAAACAATTTGTAGAAATTGTGGTACATTGAGTTGAAAACATTAAAAAATAATGACATGCGGTGCTAATTAGTAGAAACCAAGGATGATAAATAATTTAAATTTATTTGTTCTATTTAGGTATAGTTCGAGTAACATATGAGGCTGTAGAAGGTTCCCTTAAGCCATTTGGTACCCAAAGAAGCCCCGCTAGTGTGGGTCAGGATTTTGTTGGTGTTTCTCAAGGGTATATTGACATACGCAATGGAGAGTCTTCAGGCACCATAAATATAACCATTATTGATGATTATATGCCTGAAATTGATGAGGTAATATTAATTCTGTTTATTATCTATTATTTTGTACATGTTGAATAAATGACAAATCCCGAAAAGGTTTCTATATAAATCTTATTTTAAATCTAGTTTTAGTTTAATAAGCTATATTTCTGTATTATTTATTCAATAATCTATGTTGTTCTCAATGATTAACTAGGTTTTTGTAGTAAGGCTTCTTCGAGTCACCTTGATGGACTCCACCAACAGCAGTCTACCTCCAAGACTAGCCATCAACAGCACAGAAGCAGAGGTTATTATTTCGGCTAATGATGGAGCTCAGGGAATCATACAGTTTGCACCAGATTCTAGAATGTAATTTGAACATATTGTTTTAAATTGCTTCCAAATTAATACTATGAAATGATGATAATGCATATTAAATTAAATTTCCTCAAAATTATGAATTAAATGTAACAAAAATATGTTAATGAAATAAATAGAATATAGACACTGTTACCTTTTTTATGTATCAATTTTTGTTCCAGTGTGTCAGTGACAGAGCAAGGTCAGACCATCTCTTTGACTATAATTAGAGGAAATGGAACATTTGGTCAGGTCTCAGTGTTTGCTTACAGTCAGGCTGTTAGTCAGTCTACTGTGCTGGGACAGGATTATAACATGACTGCAGGTGTAAGTTTATATTGTCTTTAGTTTTCATTGAATAATTATCATTTATTTTATTAAAGAATTTAATTAATTTTGTGTGTGTTTGTGTACCTTAAGTACAAACATAATTTTTGTAATCCCATAATTTAACACAATGTTGGATAGTTTCAACTAGGGTAGGGCAAACTTTTGGTGAAATTTTGCAAAAGTATGATTTCTAATATATTCAGCATGACAACAACATATGAGTCCATAGTATGCAGACCCAAGGTTGATACCATAAATGATGTGTGTTGAGATTTACATCTGGCAAATTTTAATCAAATTTTTCATGAAAAATAACATTCCAGGAAATTGTGTTTCAAGAGGGAGAATCAAGGAAGATCCTCAATATAACAATTATAGATGATACTGAGCCTGAACCAGATGAAACTTTTGAAGTTATCCTGGCTAATCCGAGCAATGGAGCTCTTCTTGGTCAAGCAGTTAGAGGTAATACTTGAATTTTCAAAGCATTTAAATTATTTCATTTGTCATTGAGCTGCAAGAATATTAGATGGTCATTATTCTATGAGCCGCTTTATTTTGAGGACATTTAACATTATATCAGTTAGATGACAAAAACGGTAATTAGTTTTTTGCTAACTTATTAAACAAGATTTTTTTATCTAATTACCAATTTGAAATTTATTAACTATGTTCAATATAATATTGTTCTTTTGCTTTTAAATTACAGCATCTATAACAATATTAGCAAATGATGTGCCAGGAGGTGCTATTTCCTTTGATACAGCAGATTCTATACGTTTAAGAGAAGCCACCCCAAATGACCTTTCCAATACTAAGGTATTTTATATTTACATTTTCTTCTGTTTTTTCTCATGAAAATAAGGTGCTGTATGAGTTGGCATTTTGGTAAATAATTTTTAAAAGCTCCAAACATAATTAAACAAATCTTTAGCAATGTTCTGTTTTTAGATCTTTAAGGTGGCTGGTTAAGACTCATATATTTTTTCTAATATGAGATTTTCAGTCTTGTGCATTAGTTCCATTATTTAATCCAGTCACTACATTTTAATAAATTACAATTGTAATTGAACTAATTTTGTTGAATATTTAACAATTTTATATTTATCTTAGTCTGAAATCCTACTGAGACGCAGATTTGGAATTTTCGGAGTGATTTCTGTACCATTCACTATAACAACAACACTTGGACAGCTTACTAATGATGTTTCACCTGCAAATGGGATAGTTATCTTTGCAGATAGACAGGTGGTTATTAGAATCTATTCTAGTCTACCATCTTCATTTGGATAAAATTTGAGAAATATCAGATTATTAGAAAAATCAATAATATCATTCTAGATAAGATATACAAAAATCTTTTTTAATACTAAAATTTGTTGAATTAACTTAATAAAAACTTTTTTTAAAGGTTGCTACATAAATTTTTTTTTATATCTCTTCAGTCAACAGCCTTGCTGGTGTTAGAAGCAGTCAATGATAATGAGCCAGAAGTAGCAGAAACATTTACACTTACTCTGCAAGCGCCATCTGGTGGGGCAATTTTAGGGAATATAACAACAAAGATTATAAATATTGATGCTAGCAATTCTCCATGGGGCTTGCTACAAGTATATGTGGCTAATACAAGGTTAGGACCAACTTTTAAAAAAAAATGGTTTTATTCTTTCTGACAGTAAAAATTTAACTTATTTTCTAACATAGCCTACTACATTTTAAGATATAAAAAGTTACAACTAATCTTTTTTTTATTTTGCATTTAAAACATTTTTTGCCTTATTTCTATGAACATATTTCTGGATACTGTATTTTATGTTCATTAAAGTTAAAACTAGCAACAATTTGATTCCTGTTGAAGGCTCTCCAGTTTGTCCATTGAAGAAACATTCAGTGCTGTAGAGCTAGATGTTGTCAGAAGCCTAGGAAATCTTGGGAAAGTAACTGTTGATGTAATCACAATGCCTGGCACTGCAACATCCTATATGGACAAGTCAAGGGTGGTGTTAGCTCTCCTGTCTGAGGTCAATGGAACATCTGTGTCTGACTGGCACCAAGTTAATGTTGGAAACTCTGTGTACCTGGTAATGCTTACATCTCTACCTCAGGACATCCAGCTCAGCTCTTTAATGACATCTGGCTCATCTATAGGCACTGGACAGTCAGTTCTTTACAAATGGCAGGGACAGTTGACATATATGTCAGTAAGTATAGATAAATGCAAAACAGTTATGTCTAAAGCAAATTAATTGTGTATCATCTAATAAAATCAGGTAAAAATGAAAGGAAAAGAAAAAAAAATGCATAGTTAAAATTAGGAAAAAAAAATGAAACAAGTTGTCTGTTAAAACTTCATAATCCTTAATATGTTTATTATATGTTTTCTTTAAATATTAAACAACAGTGGGACATATTTTTTAATTGGTTTATAACTATTAGTAGGGGAAACTGCAAAAGAACAATCAATCCACAATAATTTTACAAACATCTGTTAATTAGTTATAATTAGTCTAAAAACTCAATTAGATCAAAGCAGCAATAATCTCACCAGTAAAAAAAATTGGGTCAGAGGCATTTTAAAATAAGTGGGGCTTATTTCAGATGAGTATTTTATCTAAAAGTAAAT